CTGGGACAGCTCGGGAGCCTCGGGCTGGGATGCCTTTTCATGAGTGACAGTTTAATTGAATTATCCCGGCTTTTCAGAAAACGGCAGCTGTCAACACTAGGTATTATAAGTGATGTAAATTATAATGAAGTGCCCAACAGCAACTGTTGTTTCAAAAGGGGATCTGTCCAGGGTGTCAGCTCGGATTCCACAGACCTCACTCTCGCCCTTCCTCTTTTTTAAAACTTCTATTTTTAAAATCTTTATTGTTGAAAGTATTACATATGTCCCCTTTACCCCCCTCCCCCCTCCATTGACTCCTTCTAGCCCGCCCCGCCCCACCCGCCCCAGGCCTCCACCACCCCATTGCCTGCGTTCCTGGGTTGTGCATCTATCCAGCGATTCTCAACCTGTGGGTCGCGACCCCTTTGGCGGTCGAACGACCCTTTCACAGGGGTCGGCTAAGACCATCCTGCATTTCAGATATTTACATTACGATTCATAACAGTAACAACTTTACAGTTATGAAGTAGCAACGAAAATAATTTTATGGTTGGGTCACAACATGAGGAACTGTATTTTTTTAATATACTGTATTTTTATTAATTTCAGAGAGGAAGGAAGAAGGAGAGAGAGAGAAACATCAGTGATGAGAGAGAATCATTGATGGGCTGCCTCCTGCAAGCCCCCCACAGGGGATCGAGCCCACAACCTGGGCATGTGCTCTTGACCGGAATCGAACCTGGGACCTTTCATTTCGCAGGCTGATGCTCTATCCACTGAGCCAAACCGGCCAGGGCAGGAACTGTATTTAAAGGGCCAGAAGGTTGAGAACCACTGAATGCAGACAACTGTGATATCATTGTCCCGTGGGGAGAAAAACGAAGAAACACGAGATAAATTCAACCACTCATTACATATTTGCTGAGAGCCTCTTCGTGTCAGGCACAGTCCTAGGGAGTAGTCGACAAACTCTAGTGAACAAAGGGATTCCTGGGGGAGCTTACACCCTGGAGATGGAGGCGGACGATAGACATTAGACATCATGAACAAACTGAATAGGACGCATGCAACCTTCCTGCCTGACTTGTTCTTGCAGCTCTCAGTGTAAGTCCTGCCTGCTCCGGAAGTGGGAGGAGGGGCAGAACGGTACCAGAGGTCCTGGTGGTGCTGATTCTCCTCCCGTGTGTGCTGCTGGAAGCTGCCACCCAGGCATGCCTGCAGGTTGTTTGTATACATCACATCTCTTCATGGCAAGAGACTCCACATGTGAGTGTGCGGTGTTGGCAGACTTGGCAAGAAGAGAGATTTGCATTGGAAGTCCTGGGTATTAATCACTTCATTAGTTCCCCACTCAAAGTGAGGCTCTGGATCCTGGAGAGTCATAGAACCTTAGTGCCAGCATTGGGGTGGGGTGGGGTGGGGAACTGAATTGAATGTGATGCTTGGCAATATTTGAAAATAATGCTAAAGCATAAAGGGCTGGTGTTGTTTCTTTCTCTAAAACTCATTTAAAAAGCTAGTATCTCTAAAGAATTAAAAACCAATTGAGTGTCTACTACATATAGGACATTGTAGAATATATCAAGATAAATGATATATAACCTTTGTCCTCAAGGAGTTTTTTAATTCAGTGTAAGGAACAATTATGCATGCAAATAATAAGGACAATACAACACACACCACGCTAATTCAGTTCCATGGACATCCATTGAGAGCTCATCATGAGCCAGCCCTGTGCTAGAACAGGAACAGAAAATATCACGAGAGCACAAAGGAGCAAACAGATTCATTCTGACAAAGAAGATTGGGAAAACATTCTTGGAGGAAACAGCACATAATCCAACCACAACCAGTAAGTGATGGAGCTGGGCTTTGCTTCCGAGCAGTCTAAGTGCACGCCCATAAACGCTATGCTCTACCACCTCTCAGGATGTGCAGGTGGAGGTCAGGAAGCACCACGGAGGTAAGATAGTGCAAGCAGTCAGGTGTACTACCAGGGTTTCTCAATCCTAGCTGCACATTGAGACTTCAGGAGGAGGCTCAGCTGGTTGGAGTGTTGTCCCATACACCAAAATGATTGCGGTTCAATTCCTGGTCAGGGCAAATAACTAGGTTGTGGGTTCCACCCCATATGGGAGGCAACCTATCAATGTTTCTCTCACATCAATGTTTCCCTCTCTCTAAAAACCAATGAACATATCCTCAAGTGAGGATTTAAAAAAAAATACTTTAGGGAGAGCTTTTTAAAATGCCAATACCCAGGTCTCATCCCCAGAAATTGCTTCCCAGGTAGTACTAAAGCACAGCCAGGGTGGAAATCCACCGGATTAGACTCTCAGGGGGCAGGGCTTGAAAGGCAGGCTGGAGGTTGAAGTCCCAGGTTAAAATTACGCAACCCGACTTTATTCCAAGGGCAAAGCAGAAGCCTCTGGGTAGGAGAGTGACAGGATCAGGTGTATTTAGGATAATTATTCTGAGAGCAGCATGAAGGATGGGCTTGAAGGTAAGCATTGCAGTTAGGACAGCGATGCTTGCTGTCCCAAAGAGAAGTGAGGAAGAACTGGTTAAGGGCAGTAGACATGTACAGGAAGAGTCATATATGAGACATTGCAGAGTAAATTCAACAGAGCCTCCTGACCAGTTAGAGGGAAGGGATGACCAAGAGGGAAGAGTAGAAGGTGACTGGTGCTTTCAGTATGAGAGGGAACACTGGAGAAAAAGTAGATTGAGGGAATGAGGAGATGACCATGGGTTTGTTTCCTGTCATATTCAGTTCGAGATTCCTGAGGAACTAAATGGGAAGTTGGAAATCTGAGTCTGTAACTAAGGAGAGAGAGCTAAGCTGGAGATCATTGAAACATAGGTGATACCTGAAATGTCAGCATTTGGTTGAAACCACTAAGGAAGAGAATGTGTGGACCTGCATTTATGTCTGAGAAATAAGAAGGCTTTGGAGAACACCTAAACTTGGGGGGCAGGTGAGGAAAAGACAAATGCCAGAAGAAGACAAATGAAGAAGCCAGGGCAAGCACATGAAAGAAGAAAATAAGAAGGCACAGGAGCAAGTGAGAAGAGAGTTCCAAGGGAGTGAAAAATCAATATAAAATAAGTAGCTGAAGAAGTAGCAGCTTTTGTCTTTGGTCCTTGGATGGCAGTTAATAAAGTGGAAAGAGTGGAAGCCACACCACAACAGATTGGACAATGAGGGGGAGATGAGAGAGCAAATGTAAAGTTTTCTACCAAGAAGTTGTGGAGAAGAGGAGAAATGAATGGAGCCGTAAATAAACGGCAGCAGGTCAAGGGAAATAAGGTTTGTTTTGCATACAGGGGTGGGCAAAAGTAGGCTTACAGTTGTAATACAAATAAATAATACAATCTATACTAATAAAAGGGTAATATGCTAATTAGACCAGGAGACCTTCTGGGAGACCTTCTGGGAGACCTTCCAGATATCCTTCCAGATAAAGCCATCGTGGTGGGGCTGAGGCAGAGACGGTTAGGGGTGATCAGGCCAGGAGGGGAGGGCAGTTGGGGGTGATCAGTCTGGCGGGGGGGCAGTTGGGGGTGAGCAGGCTAGCAGTGGGGGCAGTTGAGGGTGAGCAGGGGGGCAGTTGGGGGCGATCAGGCTGGTGAGGGGCAGTTGGGGCGAACAGGCTGGTGGGGGGACAGTTGGGGATGAGCAGGCCAGCAGGCAGAGTGGTTAGGGGTGATCAGGCAGGCAGGCAGGTGAGCGGTTAGGAGCCAGTGGTCCCAGATTGCAAGAGGATTGCCGGCAGTCGGACATCCCCCGAGGGGTCCCAGATTGGAGAGAGTGCAGGCCCAGCTGAGGGATAACCCTTCCCCCCACAGCACGAATTTTGTGCACCGGGCCACTAGTACTTAATAATACAAGAACAAACTGTTTCATGTACTCACCACTGTAAACCTACTTTCGCTCACCCCTGTACGTGGATAGATACAACTTGAAGTTAACAAGATGGACTCCATTCCTGAAAGGGACTAATTCAAGAAAACTTATGGCAAGAGAAAGGTTCTTCATCCCCAGAAACAAGAAAGAAGCCAAGTTGGAGAGAGGCACCCTAGGAAATTCTGCCAGACTGGAAGGGAGCTACTTGAGTTGATGACAGGCAGGCCTGTTTGCTCAGATAATTGGAACCTTAAGAAGAGTGGGAAATGCCTGGGACTGCATATAGAGATCAACTAGGGAAGAAAACCAAGAAATTAAAAAAAAATGCCCTGGAGGACCCACCAAGGAATTTCCTTGTAATATGTAAAAGCTGCCGTATGACATGTTGAAGTGATAACACCGCCTGCCGCTGTCTGTACTGTGTTCCCTGTGCGTGAATCTTTTAAGTAGTTACAGGAAAAAAGCTGCCTGTTCCAAGCAGCTTACACCAATGACCTGAAGCACAAGGCAAACTCTTCTGATGTTAACGAGCCATGGAATACCATTTAGTGTTGAAACCAGGTTATGCCGATCCTTTTTGATCTGGCAGTTAACTTTATTACCTTTACGTGTGGTGGAGTCATTCTTGGGCCCTGAGCAGAGACTGCCAGAGGTACCACGTGAGAGTAAAACACTCTATCAAAATCATGAGGTTGGCGAGAAAACTACCCCAGAAAGATACAGCCTAGCGAAGCCACACTGCTAAAATGTGGCCGCAAAGTCTGAACGATTGCGGAGAAAAGCACCGAGAGATACCGCATAGCCGCACCTGGGCCCGCACCCAGCAGCCCGCGCCCTCTAAGGGCGGACCTCGGAACCTGCGGCGCCAGGACTGGGGGGCAGAGCGAGGGGCTCCGGCTCCGGCCACGGACGGGCACGCCCCGGGGTCTGGGGTCACTGCTCTCAGACAAATACAAGTTTTCTCACGAAGCCCCAGAAAGCCTCTCCCATCCCCTCCCCTGTTCCCCAAGGGCACGGAGCGGCAGAGTTGGCGGGACAGGGGGTCAAGGGACAGTCAGACCAACCGCAGCTGCCCCGGGCCGCTCCCCTTCGTGTTCTGACTGCGCCTGCGCGTGATCCCCTCCCCCAAGCCCCCCACCCCGCGGCGTTCGCGGCGGGAGGCGGGGCTGCGCGCGCACGCGCTCGCGTCTCCAGGCAACGGGCATAACAGGGGCCAGCTGCGGGCGCCTGCGCGGCCGGAGGTGAGTGGCGGGGTTTGGTGCCCTGAGCTGGAGTTGTCTCTGACAGCCAGGTACGCGGAAGGGCGGGGAGACATGGGGTCAGCCCCTCGCCCTCCCAAGGGCCCGATGGACAACATGAAGGCTTGTCTCCAAAGCGGAGCCCCCAGTGGGGACGCCCCGGCTGACCCTCCAGGACACAGTGTGACTTCCGTGTTCCGGACCTAAAACCCGCGGCGGTCGGGTCAGGTGCCCCCCTCCTACCCCATTTTTCAGGTTACGAACCTCCCGCCGCTGGGACTCCTTGGGTGAGGGTTTGACGGCCAGGCACCTGCTGCAGGCCCCGTGCGGTTGCTCTGCTCCTTGGAGTCGAGCGCGGACCCAGCGGGAGGGAAGCCCTGAGAGCTCTGTGGGCCGGTCACTACCTCCGGCCGCAATTTTCTCACCTGTAGAATGATGGGGCTGGACTTGGAGTCTTAAGGTCCCGAAATTACAGCCATGTAACTGAGCCAACTCCTCCGTTTATGGTGGAAAAATTGGAGCCAGCAAGGGGAGGTGGCTTGTCCTGTGTTGCAGAACGAAAACCTGACTTCCAAACCAACAGCTCTTCCCAGAGCGCTTTGCACCCATAGGGAGTATATACTGTGTGTGCCAGGAGCACCCCTCTGTACAGCGGAGGCTGGTACCGGGATCGGGGAAAGGTAGGTGGCAGGAACACCTGTAGCACATTCGTTTTTCTATCTTCAGGACCTGATAAGCATTCACAGGACTAAATAAGCTCTCACCTAACGCTTACGGAAGGAGAGCTCTAGCAGACTCAGCACCACTGTCCCTAAAAGGCTGAAAGGAAAACGTGGGTAGGACACATGTAGACAGTTGCTTTAATGACCAAGGTGAACTCAGAAAAAACTTCTCACCTGTATCTGGTTTAAACCTCTTCTAGGCTTCAGTCCAGACCCTGAATGGCTGATCTCCACTTGGCACCACCTCTGCCTGTGGGTGTGATGCTCCCGCATAATAAAACAAAAGCTCCCGGGCTCCACGCAAGTAAGCAAGAGCCCTATGAAAAAGGTGACTCTCCCCAGCTGTCCTCAATGGGGCACCTGAGGCATCATTCCCAGGAGAAGCTTTTGAGCAACAAAGAGCTGATGCTGAATCATCCCTACCCTCACTCCAAACGGAACACCTGTGAGAGAGCTGGGAGCTGCTTCTGTCCCCACCGTGCTGGACTCAGCCAGCAAGAGCCAAAAAGCCACCTCCAGAGCCAAGCCAAGGATTTGTTTTACTCATCAGGCCCTCAGTCCCAGTACCCCAAAGCAAATAACCATGAATTCATCCCCTTTACAAAGAAGCGAGTTGGAGTGGACCGGGCATACCCACTGAAACCTGTGTTCCACAGGAAGTCTCATAGTACAGGTGAGACTGGCATGGATGGGGACCAAGACGTCTCTCCAAGACCCCCTGAGCCAAGGGAGTTGTCATACAGCAGCTTTGGTTTGAGGAACTGGGCCGGCTCATCTGTGGTTGGTACTGCTGCTGCCAGGCAGGGGGAGAGGACCCTGGCAAACCCCACCCGGATCGAGTGGCTGCAGATCCAAAGACTAGAAGCTGCAGGGGAGAATTTAGAGGAGGAAATTCGAAGAAAAGAGACCCTCCTACGGGAAAAGCTGAAGAAGACAGAAGAAGAACTCAGAAGGATCCAGAAGGAAAAAGAACAGGCTGAGGAAAATGAAAAAAGAGAGTTACAGAGACTGACACTCCCCAGCAGGAGACTTACAGGTAATAGCAACTCCACTTACAGACCCGTCTTCTCCCCAGACTCTGGCTCTAAGGAGGTCTTCAGTGGAGAGGAGGAAACTGGGGGAGGGTCTCAAGAAAATTGTAGCCCATTCCAGTTCTCTGGTTATGGGATGCAGAAGCTCAAAAGGGAAAGACTAGTGGCAAACAACAACAAAATCCGAGACCATGCCTCGGGGCAGGTGAAGGAGAAGTGTCCTCAGCCCACAGAAGGGCCAGGCAGCACTTGGCCAAGGTCCACCAGCAATTCTAACTGGCCTAGGGCACCACATTCCTCAGGTTCCAGCTGTTCCACCGAAGAGCCAGAACTGGGCAAATGCAGCCACTGTGGACGCAACTTTCTCTTGCTCAGGCTGGAGAGACACTCCACCGTCTGCAGCAGGACGCAGGGCTCCAAGAGGAAAGTGTTTGACTCCTCCCGGGCCCGGGCCAAGGGCACAGAACTAGAGCAGTACTTGAACTGGAAGGGACCAGCCTCAGTCAAGGTAACAAGGACCTTACGGATTTGACCTTGAGTGGGGATCATTGTAAAGGCCTGTTATAGCCTCATTTGGTGTTTGTTTTTTTAAGAAAAAATGTAATTGTTATAAATTAACAATTATTGGTTATTAATGAACATTTATTGGTTATTACTGTGAGCAGGAGTTTCATACGACCCTCACCACAAACGTGAGGATTTCATGATCTCTTATCAATTCAAAAATCAAGTCTCAGGTCAACCTGAATGAGATCACAAACAGCTTTAAGTGGCAGAGTCAGAATATAAAACTGGGTTGGAATGACTCCAAAATCTAGTCATTTGTTGTTTGTTGTTAGTCCTCACCCCAGGGTATCTAGAGGAAATTTATCACTTTCATGTATTTTATCATGTAATTTGTCACTCTTTTATTATAAAAGTGATAAACATTTACTTTGAGAAAATTTAAAAGAAAAGAACTATTCTGCATTTTACTACCTTGAGAGGATTCCTTTCACTTTGCAATATACTTTGCCACCTTCCGAGATTAGAATCTGTTACTACTCCTGTGACCACATCTACTTTTTCAAGATTAGCTCAGTTTTTATATACCTTCTAAGTAAAATACATGAAACACAATTAAGTTTGGAATTCTTCTCTCCGTTTAGAGTGTAAACACCTTAAAGGTGAATGACTTTATTTTTGGTTAACATTTCCAGCTGCAGAAAACCTAAGCCGTAAAAAGTAAGGACATTTGGACCATTAGATCTGGAGGGGATTGTCCCGTGAATAACTACCACCCTGTCAACGTTATGCCACTTGTTTTGTTTTGTAAATGAGTGTTTCTCAAAGTGTGGCATGCTGTCAGACATTTTTTTATTTTAGTAGTTTTAGTGTTTGTTAAAAAATACAACATATTATGCCCTTGATTTCTAAGAATCATGAATTTAAAGAAAATATTAATGGGGGATAAAGTGAATGTGGTATGCAAATGGTCAACATTTGTGAAAATCTAGACCACATGATCTCAGAGCCCCATCCAGCTCTACTATTCTAGCAACATGTGAGAGTCATTCTGTTTTCATTTCTTTTTTTTAATTAATTTTTTTAAAAAAGAGGAAGGGATGAAGGGAGGAAGAGAGAGAAGGAGGGAGGGAGGGAGAGAAACATTGATTTGTTGTTCCACTTATTTATGCATTCATTGGTTGATTCTTGTATGTGTCCTGACCCGAATCTGGTGTATAGAGACAATGCTCTAACCAACTGAGCTATCTGCCAGGGCACTACTCTAGTGGTTTATTTCTGGCCAGAATGTAAAAAAATCGTGTGTTTCTTTAATTCCTACAGTAGCAGTGAAGCAAAAGATTTGGGTGTCTGGGGTCAGATACCCTTGCTTTGTGGAAACTAGTTTGGGGGAATATGTTGCATCGAGGACACCAAGGCAGAAAGGATCTGCATTGAGATGCACTCCCCTCCTTGGAATGTCCTGTCTTATTCCCAAAGTTTGTGCCCTTAGAAACTGAGTAGTTTGTGTCTCCTTCTCATTCTTCTAGTGCCGTGGCCGGCAAACTGCGGCTCTTTGGCCCCTTGAGTGTGGCTCTTCCTAAGCCTTAGGAGCACCCTAATTAAGTTAATAACAATGTACCCACCTATATAGTTTAAGTTTAAAAAATTTGGCTCTCAAAAGAAATTTCAATAGTTGTACTGTTGATATTTGGCTCTGTTGACTAATGAGTTTGCCAACCACTGTTCCAGTGTATTCAGAAGGAACAGGTGATTTTTCTGATATCGTTTAATATTCATGTAACTTTCAGTATACTCATACCTCTTGTCTCTCTACTGGACCATAAGCATTTGAGCATAGAGGCCACATTTTGATACTTTGTGATTGTGCTAACTGAATGTCAAAACAAACAAAGAATATAAGTATCATATAGTTGGCAAACTTTTCTCTAATTCAGTTCCTGGACACCACCTCCAACACGGATTCTCTTGCCTTCTTGTCTATTTCAATAAGACTCTCCTGATGGATCCTTCCTTTTCCTTCAATAACACCTCTTCCTAGTATTCATCATTAATGATGTGGCATCACTTGCCTTCTTTTTAAGATTAATTTTTATTATAGTCTAAATATTTGAATACATTTTTATAAACATGTGTACTGCCATTGTAGTGGAATTACAATTTTGTGTTAAACCAGTGGTCAGCTTTTACATTATAATAACCACATATGCTAAGTGAAATAAGCCAGTCAATGAAGGAAAAATACCACATGATCTCACTCATTCCTGGATAATAAAGACCATTATAAACTTTTGAACAATAATAGATACAGAGGCAGAGCTGCCTCAAACTGATTGTCAAACTGCAGCAGGAAGGCCAGAGAGGGTTGGGGGGCAGGAGGGAGGGGGGTAAGAGATCAACCGAAGGACTTGTATGCATGCATATAAGCATAACCAATGGACATAAGACACTGGGGGGTAGGGGAGGCCAGGGGATTGTCAAGGGCAGGGGAAAAAAAGGACACATATGTAATACCCTTTGTAATACTTTAAGCAATAAAACAATAAAAAGAAAATAATAATAACCACATATATTTTGTTCACTGATGAGTGAACAAATTCTGTCCTGCGCACATGCACCTGGAGTTAATAATTGACTTATTTTCAAATGTACCTTATCTCTATAAATTTTTTTTTAATGATTCACCCGATGTCAGACACCTGCTGATGTTTTTGTAATTGTTCAAACGCCTCAGACAGTCTATCAGTTTGATTTTTTAAATTCTGGAAACCTCCCTCTGACCACTCTTTTCCCTCCTGCTCTAGTCTGCACTGGTTATTTCCACACCTGGTGCAGCCCTGTTGTCTTGGGACTACTCTCTGCTTCTCCACTGTGTTGGGTCCCGTTTCCAGCATCCGAGTCTTCCTTGTTCTTGCTATACTTCTTTCCTTGTGGGAGTTTACTAAGAAAGATGCATGGGAGACATATTTTTGTCTTGGAATGAATGAAAATATCTATGTCATAGCCTTATAATTTGGTTGATGCTTGGCCAGGTAGAGATTTCTTGATGGAAAGTGAGTTTCTGTTCAGATTTTTGAAGGCATTTTCCCACTAGTATTTAGCATCCAATGTTACTGTTGAGAAATCTGATGCCATTTTGATTTTTGCTCCATTATAGGAAATCATCCTTTTTTTATTTTTCTAAAATCTAACAGGATTTTAAATTCTGAAATTCTGGTTTTATAATGATTATGTTGGATACTTGATAAGCTATTTCAATCTTAAGAGTAGTGACATTTAACTCTAGGAATGTTTATAGTATTCTTTCTTTAATAATTTCCTCCTCTTGCCTTCTTTGTGTTTTTTGTTTGTTTGTTCTTGGAATGCGTATTGGCCAGATGTTGGACTTCCTGGATTGAGTTTATAATTTTTTAATATTATATTTTCTACTTTCCATCTTGATATCTTGATCTTTCCCATTCTGCATAATCTTCTTGACATTATTTTGTAACATTTTTATTTCCTGCTATCAGTTTTAATTTGTAAAAGTTCTAAAACATTTATACTGATTTTTATATAGAGTGGAAGGGAGAGGGAGAAACATTGATTGGCTGCTACCTGCATGTCCCCTACTGGGAATTGATCCCTGACCAGGAATCGAACAGGTGACCTCTTGGTACATGGGATGATGCCCAACCAACTGAGCCACACCTGCCAGGCCTTTCTGGTCTTTGTTCCTTTTCCATAGTGTATATATTCTTCTTGTTTTATGGTCACAATTTCTTCTAATAACTTCTTTGTTGGTACTATGGTTTTTCATTTAAAAAATGTTTTTTCCTGGTACCTGCTTTGTTGCTGCTTCCTGAGTGTGTGTGTTTGCTTGTATACTTGTTTTGGTCTCTCTCATGTTTGTCTTACTCAAATACCTGGCAATACTTGGCTGTCCATTCATATTTAAGCTTAAGTGGGCTTGTTGACTAAGGACCTTCATATTAGGGTTATCAAACAGTGAGCCTTTTAATTGCCATCCCCCAGGGCTAGTGTCTGATGGCTTTTCTCTTGCCTGCTTGGCGCATCCAGAGAACCCTTCAGTCTCCTAAGAAGGTGCCCATGTGTTTGGCACCCAGGGAGCCAAGTGAGGGAAGGAGGCTGACAGTTCTGCAGCTCATCATGAACACTTGTACTTGCTCCCTATTTTCAGCCCCAAGATTAACCTTTTCCCCCCTGTGCCTGGATTTCGTGAATTTGACACCTGTCGGGTTCAATTTCTCCAGAGAATAAACTCCTGTTCTCCTGTGAGGGTGTGGATGTGCAGGGTGGGATAGCAGCCCTGGGGTCCTGGCACTTTCTAGCCCGAGGCTCTCCAGGTCTCTGCTGCGGGTCATGGCTTGCTTCTCCGGACTCATCCCCCTTTGCAGGACCTCAGTGTAAGTGCCTCCACGCAGGCAAGTCAGGATTGAACCGTTTCCTTACCGTCATTCTAGTGGAGACTTGGGAGATGAGATAAATGCCACGTTGAATGATTGGTCTGCCTTCTACTTATAGGCTGAAGCTCCACGGAAGAGCAACTGGAGACAGAAGCATGAATCCTTCATCCGTACCCTCCGCCAGGCTCGAGAGGTGCAGCGGGTAATTGCCAAAGGTGGAAACCCCTCAGACTTGCCTCCCATCCCGCCTGCAGAAAATCCAGACTATATTCAGTGTCCTCACTGTAGCCGTCACTTTGCTCCCAAGGTGGCTGATCGGCACATTCCCAAGTGCAAGACCATCAAGAACCGTCCTTTGCCTCCAAGGAAGCATTCCAGTTGAGCAGACAACAGCGGAAATCTCCTCAGTCATTCCAGAAAGCTCGGCTTCTCTTGAGCAGTAGGTAGGAGTAGAATGATTTGATGCAAAGCAGGAAGAACTAGATTTTATACATCTCCCAGATCAGCCTGCAGAGCTGAAATCAGGGAGGAGAAACCCATCGCTAGCAGCAGGAGGCAGAAGGAAGTCTCAGCCTCCCACCTCAGGCTGGTGTGCCTCATGTTACTGCCCTAAGAACTGATGGGTGAAGACAGTTAAGAGTGGCGAGCAGGCTACATTAAAGCTGTCTTCTCACGAGCTGGCTTGTGGTTTGTGCTAGCTAAGTGCCTGCATCTGCTTGGCCTTCTTGCCACTGCCTCTGCATGTTTGTCTGTGGCTCCTGTTAACTCTTCTCATTCTTGCGAGAAGTTGGCTCATTCAGATGAGTTGGTGTCAGAGGACCTAGGTCACCCAGATGATATCTCATAAAAGATAATACGATTTTGTTGTAAGGCAAATGGAAGTCTGTCCGTGACCTCCTTGGTGCATGGTCCTGGCTAAAAACCAATACAAGTATGTAAGGTTAAGGTGCCAATACATCCTAAACCAGGGGTGGGCAAACTTTTTGACTTGAGGGCCACAATGGGTTCCTAAACTGGACCGGGGGGCCGGAACAAAAGCGTGGATGGAGTGTTTGTGTGAACTAATATAAATTCAAAGTAAACATCATTACATAAAAGGGTACGGTCTTTTTTTTTTTTTTTTTTTAGTTTTATTCATTTCAAACGGGCCGAATCCGGCCTGCGGGCCGTAGTTTGCCCACGGCTGGCCTAAACCCTCCCTATGGTGTACTGTGTCGTAAAGGGAACCTCATCTTCTTCTACGTCACAGGTAGGGATGGGGGAAAACACACTGTATGTCTCTGTAGTTGTTCTTTTCCGATGTCAAAGGGGAGGAAACTTCAGCGTCAGCTATTGCTAGCACTCTGCTTTCAAATGAGGTTGGTAAGTTGGATGGATGGCATTTCAAATGAAGCAGCAAAATGTACCATCAAAGCAAGCTGTACATTGCTATGTACTTGTCCCCGCTGACTATACTACCCACAGGCAACTTCTTTTTTAGAAAGCAAACTTTGAAGGCAAAGGTACCAGGTGTTTTTCATTTTCTCTGTGCAGAATCATGCCTAGTGCAAGGAACCTTTATAATTAGACCCTCAATAAATGGGCTTGTGGGATTTAAAATTAAACAAATGAGCCCTCAACTTGCCAAGTGGGAGCAGTGATGAGGTGTATCTGACAGAGTAGTATCAGCTCTGATAGGATGAAGTTAGTATAACAGACCTGAAATACCAGTAGGGTTATTGTCCTGAGAGCATTCACTCCAATTACTAGTTTAAAATACTGTAAAAAAGTCACCCGACCTGACCCGGGCAGAGAGGACTAGGCACACAACAAAACCGTATTTTACTGAACAACAGATGGCCACTCACTCCTGTTCCATTTCCACTGCAGCTGCTTCTGCGTGGCGGGGCTAACGGATCAAACCCCTTTGAAATATGAGTTTAAGACTCTGGCTGTGAAGCTACAGGACATTAGGCTGGAAAAAAAATTACATATTTTAAAAACAGCATCTATTGACTTGTTTTATGCTTTTAACTGTTGCAAAGAAAAAAGTATCACATAACAGGGCTTTCAGTTGGCCACTTAAAGAAGCCTCACACACACAGTGGATATTTAATCCAACTATGACATTCCCCAGGCAAGTTTAACAAGGTCCACTCTGTTTCATACTTGATGGTAAAAACAATAGATGGCAAAAATGGGCCGTGGCCAACGTTACTAAGTGGTGGCCTGTGGACTGCTTGCCCCACAGTTTATTTGCTGGCACAGCACTAACGATATAACCTGGCATTTACAAACTGGGATATGGAGCATCTCTTACATAACTAGAAGTTCTGGAAAGACCAGGCCAGCCACCCTGCATGGCACTAATTGAATGAGGCTCAGAACCAATTGCTCCTTGACAGGGGAGAGCATTCAGATCACCACAGGCCCGCTTATGTGCCTTATCTGCCTGGCCCCACAGGCACTGGGCTGGGGATCCCTGCACGATTATTAAGGTCACAGATCAGGGCCCTCCGGGGAGAATAAAGTGTGTGTGTGTGTAGGGGGCAGGGTGCTTTCTGGAGACACAGGAAGCAGTTATTCACTATGTTGCTAGAGAAATAAAACAATAGTCAATGTCTTAATGTTCCCTTCAATCGCAACAGGCTTAGGCCTTGATTTTGTCAGTCTTTTAAATTTAGCTTGAACTGATCTTTGGGAAGAGGTTGGAAACCTTTTTCTAAGTCTCTTCCTGGGTAGCAGAGAATGATGCGTGGAGAAATCAATGCTGCTTGTTAGTCTATGTATTATACTACTTCATCCAAGAACCTTTAGTGCATGTAAATGTTATAAATTATAAAGTTCAAAGGTTAAGCAGTGGGAAGAATCTCATAGCTAACTCACTGTGTGCAGACATGGTAACACAGTGCTGCTTAACAGTGGTGTATTTAAGGCAGCACAGTACCTTTGAGCCAGCATTTTTTTTTTTTTTTTTGTCATCAATTTACCACTTCACAACTGCACAGGAGGTAGCTGAGATGTGATAGCGTTTTTCTCCCAAATGTTATGATTCTATGAGGTTTAGTGATCAGTATGTTTATTTCCATAGTTAGTTATCGAAGCAATAAATGATTTTTGGCTTTGCAGTAGGGAGGAACATGTTTTGTAGCCCTGGCTACAGCCCACTCTGCCCTGACACTATCATGAATAATACTTTATAGGCCCAGGGATACTTTTTTGAAAGAATTTATTTACATCTTTGCTCCAGAGTTGGTCTATTATGAATGTTTCCAAATACATGGAAAATCAAATGAAATGTGAGTTTAAGGCTGCTTTTGCTTTACACTCTAGTGAAATGCTTAGCCGAGAGAAGTTGTAACATGGCTGTGCTATGCCAGGGAGACCAAAATACAGTTCACCCTCTTTGAGGGAAACCAGTTTTATAAACATAAATGGCATTATCACTTGAAAAAGCCACTGTGATCAGGGAGGCAAGTACAAGAAGTGATTCTTCCTCCTCTAATGGCTTATTTTATTCTCCCTCTGCACTTTAGCACAGTATTTCAGAAGGTTTTTTTGGGGGGGTGGGGGTGGAAGGGGAGCTGTAACAGCAGAAATGATTCTGTTAGCAAGAAATTGGAAGGAGGAAAAGATTATTTCTGTGCAAATGTCCCTTGCATTGTTTGTTACCACTGAATTAAAAGTTTCACAAAGGCCTGGAATCAGAGTGTTTTATCCCCAGTGACAATGTCCATGCACAGACTTACTAAGGCATAGCACTGATTGAGAGTTTAAATGTTTATTTAAAATAGAAATGCCAAACCACTCCACCCTCAACCTTTCAAACATCTGGCCAACAATAAGCTAGTTCTTCAGCAACAATGTCAGAGCAGAGGAATAACTCAGGTTATACTGTAACTCAAAAGCAATACTACGGAAAACTTAAAACACCTAGCACTGTATAGAGAAGTAGAGAATTACAGAAAACCATTCAAAGACATTTCTGCTACCTCACTTTTCACTTTTTATCTAAGCATGGCTGCCACCTTTGAACTGGTTTCTGTTTGCATAGCTGTTTGGTGGAGAAAATACGGCTGTCCCAGGCACAATTTGGGAAAGTGCAAATTGTTTCTAAGGCACAGAATTTAGATTCTCAGCCAGATTCATAGCAAACCTAGGTTTCCCAAGGGAACATGCTAGAGAAAATGACCACAGCATTCCACTGCTAGAGAGTAACTCCGGAACTAGGACAGGGGTCTTATCCTCCCTTCAATGCTCACTTCCATCCCCCAGTCTCAGCAGCATCCCATGTTCCTCAGATCCATAGCAGAAGCAACACTCATGATTAACACCCAAACTGGCCCTGCCTCTCAGGCCTGCTGAGATGGTACGCATGAGGGACACAAGAATGTGAAAGGCCAGTCAGTCCTTTAAAAAAATCAAAGTTGCGTTTACATGGTGAACCAAACCCATTATTAGGGTGTATAGCAAACCCCCAAGTCCCTAGAATTTGTAGCTTAATCCAGGGTTGGCCCCTTCCCTTATTTTAAGAAAAGGCTTCAGTGATTACATTAGTACCATTGTACTAGGCTTCCCAGAATTGAGAAAACAATGGGAACATCAAACCAAAGAAGATCCCATTGGACAGAGTTGCCCATCCCCAGCTATGGGGTTTTCCTGGAACATCAGCCTTTACATCATCAGTTTCAGGGAAATGACAACATTTCCATTGCACAGATCCTTCCAAAATATTAAATAGACATCAAACATTTATGTTTTGGTTTAGGGAAAAGGAAATAAAACAATGTAGCTGTTTCTAGGAAGGTAGGATGTGAAACTCTTCAAGGCGGTCCAAGGCGGCCCGTGAACCTTTCACAAGGCTAGGTGGAGATAGCAAGCTCACACCCTACGTAAAATCATCAAATGCTCTAGGGCACTTTCTTTGGGAAAGCCAGCTTGCTCTGGTCTATAAGGACATGACTACAGGATTAGAAGGGAGCTCAGCCAAATTCCTTTCACTTGGCAGGCTCTACCTGTTCTGTTAGGCTTCAGGGACTACCAGGTTTAGGGGCTGGCTTTGGGCCACTTAAGTATGAAAGGTGATACAGATTCACTGATAACGGCGTCATAAACACCAAAGGGGAGAAAATACTGACTAGACATATAGAAAAGGAGTGGATGGGGCTGCTGATGTCAAGATCAGAACCGTAAGAGCCATGGCAGAGGCATAAGAGGCCGCCTGGACGGAAGACTGTCACTGCCGGCCTCTCAAACATGCAAGCAGAGGCAGCTAGAGGACTTCCTGTCCCTCATGGTTTTCTCTTAAGGCCACTCCTACTGCCCGACTGGCTCAATTCTCTACAAGCCACCTCATCTCTCAGAGGCATCTTCCAAAGCTAGGAAAGCCCACCCTGCACTGGCCACAGCTGGACACTCCAGCTGTGTGATGAGGAGGGACCTGCCCTTCTTTCGCTACTCCTCACCAAAGAAATTCCAATCAACCTCAGAGGAAAAGCAATTGAAGCCCATTTTTCCTCCTAAAGCATTGAGCTGCACGATGTAACTGAACTTTCTGAAAACTGGCCCAAGGGACTGACTCCACCAGTCTTTCCTGGACTCAGGACTCCTGAGAGGGCTCAGAGCACTTCACCTCTCTACAGATGACCCTGGGGGCCCCACCTGGTTCCAGCCCACTCCAGCTTCACACTTTTCCCT